TGCTGGAAGTGTGGGAAACTTTGGTGTTACTAGTTGTTAGTAAGTAACACCTCTAGCTTTTTCCCTGCTAGAAGAAAGGTTTAAATACCACCAGCTAGCTGGGATGCTCAGAGCAGCTTGGACCCTCTGTTGGCTTTGTGGGCATCCCCTGGGCTGGGTAGGAAGAAAACACCCCGTCTCCAACCTCAGCTTTGCTTTTGGGGTGAAGGAAGGGGAGAGAGCATCTTTCACGCTCTTCTTCCTGCAAGCACAGTCTTAGGGCTCAGGCAGGTTGTAGCAGCCACTGGCAGCCGTGCCCCTTTGCTCCCTGTTCTGTGTGCATCCATTCTTCCCTCTCCACATGCATACAAGTATACTGGCCTGTGTTTATTTAAGAAGGAAATTTTTTCCTTCGCTGCAGGGAGTAGAAGAAAAAAAAGGCAAGTTTTTCACTGGGAACAAATCTCATTTTCAAGAGTCCTGACAAAATGAGCCATAAAATTACAATATTTCAAAGTGCTTCGTAATTCTAGCGTGGACGGCTCTTCATCATGGTATCTGAAAGCTCAGAAAATATAAAACTCATTAGATTAAAATAAACCACCTACCACATGGAAGAAAAGCTTATTTATCAATACCAATTTGCTTCTGATTACCCTATTCTGTAATTTGTTATTTTTAGGAATTATGATTTGTGTAAAGCTCATGCCAATATGGGGGGGGGAGGGGAAGTGTGGAGAAAAGTAAAAATTAACTTTTGCTTTTTTTCGTTTTGAATCCTACTTATTGTAAAGACCTGGCCAAGAAGCAGTAAGAAGAAAAGGTGAATTTCTAGTGGCTTTCTTTCATTTGAGGAGCAGAGAGGTGGAAAAGCTGGGAAAGCCGCTGTGCCTCTTCAACCTGCTGTGTTTTGGTGTGAGGGTCTGTGCTAAGTGATGCACTTTGCTGAAGAGGATTGTGGGGATGGTTTCTCTGATGCATGTTTGGTGGTGGCCTTTGTTGGAGCATCTCTGGGCCACTCTTCCAAGGTGACCAACGTGATGGAGGAAGCTGGGGAGAGTGGGCATGGGTGGCGTGCTAGGGGAAGAGGAGTCTTCCAGCAGCTGGCTGGATGCCACGGGCATGGTGAGATCCTGGTAGCATCTCAGGGACTTCCACTTTGCCTATGAAGGAGCAAATGCTGTGGGTGGGCAGTGCTGGCTGCTGAGCTTACCTCTGGGGGACAGCGTTTGTGCTGCATTGCTGAGAAGGACCTTTTTGGGAAGGAGTGTACAGTTTCCTCACATGGAAGCCATTTGGGAGACGCTTTGATTTACACTTTCATTTTTTCTTTATGCTCCTGGAGCAGCACAGAGCAAACAGAGGCTGACACTATAAATTCTGAGGCGCAAGTGTTGCGGTGCTGTTTGGGGAAGGGAAAACTGGCTTGGGGGAGATGGGGTGTGGGTTTGGGGGATCATTTAAGATGCCAGCAGCAGCTCGAACGGGAGAGCATCTCTGCCAGCAAGGCTCAGCAGCCGCAGAAGCTGCTGCCGCTGCTCTGACGGAGGCAATTAAGTGTGTTTTCTGTGCATGCAAGCTGTTCTCATGTGCAAGCAATCCAACAATGCATTTAAAAATAACCAATACAGGTGCACAGCCTGGAAGCCAATGCTCAAGCACCTAGAGAGCAACATGTGGCCCAGGCTTGAGAAGTGGGAGCATCTCTTCTCCAGTGTTTTGTGGAGGTGAGATGCTAGAAGGCTCTTGGAGCCTTGTTGCTAACTTCACTTGGATTGTGTGCCAAGGACCAGAGCATGCACTGGCCGGGCTCTGTGTAGCCAGGCAGGTGGGATCTTTGCCATGTTTAGGGATGCAGCTGGTAAAGCAGCAAAAAAGCCACTTCCTGAGCTTGGGAAGGAAGTATTTGGGGCAAGTGGGCTGAAAAACCTCTGTTCAACCTGAGCTGGTTCCTAAACTTCCAAGCCCTGGACTTCTTTGCAGAGCGGTGTTTCAGTGGTAGAGGCTCCTCTGGTTCCCATCCGTTACCATTTAATGTGGTTCTGTCTGCTGCTTCCTGTGCCTTAGGGAGTGGTTGCCAGTGGACTGGGAAATCTCTGGTTTAACAGTAGTGCTTTTGCAGCCAGGAGACAACAGTTAAGTTCCCAGAGATGACTTGCCCAGAGACATTATTATGCTGGAAACTGCACCAAATGCTTCCTACAAAGAGCCTTTTTCAGGCAGAAGCTGCAATTTAATATGCTCTTAGTCACAATTTTTAAGTTCTCCCTGGAGATTTCTCAATCCTGTTCCTAAATTTGCAATATTCAAGTGAACCATCTCGGAAAACCAGTGAAGAGCTGCAGTATTAATGAAGACAGACAAAATCAAAATGACATTTCAGGCAATTACTTACATAATGAAGTGACTGACTTGGAATATACAATATTTAGATTTATCATGACACTTGAAAGGGGATGCTGTCAACTGCCTTTATTTCTACATCACGTAAATTCTTTTTTCCACTGCCCTGTTGCTTTTTAAACATGGTCTGTGAAGCCAGAAAATAATGTTTCTGCTCACTTGGGCTGATGGCAGTGCTGTTTTAGAAGAAAGTTAGCATTTTCCTCAATGGCATTTTGGCACAGCAGAAAGCGGAGGAAGAGCTCGGGGTTGGGCTGCCTTGCTTGTCTCCCATCACATCCTTTCTGGTGGCAGCACAATGAGCTTTGGCTCTGCACCCCAGGCTTGATGCTGGCCAGGGGAATGCAGGGACCTGAAACAACAGCATTGTCTATGTCCAAGGTTTTCTCTTCCCCAAAACCTATGAAGGAAGGGGTGAAAATGGAGAAGTTTGGGGTTTTTCTATGTTAGAAGAATATTCTGCTTCTGCTGGCTCAATCTGAAGATTTAAAGGACCTGATAGGATGCCTGGCTCCTGGGGTAGAGGTAACTTTTGTTTAGAAACTGTGTTTTTGGATGCTCTGCTGGCAGTGAGTGCTCAGAAGTTAGAAAAATATTGGGGGCTGGAGGATTGAACTCTCCTGCCCTGTCAGTGTGTTCTGGGGAGATTGGCATGATTACACCTAAAAGCAGTGCTGATCCCAAATGTCTTCTCAGGCTTGTGCTGCATTTCCTCAAGATGCACGAAGACCACAGCACCGTTTTTCTTGCCTAGGCACAGACCTTTTCCTCCCAGACACTCTCCTGTGGCAAAACAGCTGAAGAAATTAGAATTTAGGGGCCTTTCTACAGTGACAGAATTGTTATGAGCTGTTTTCTCTGACAACACATGCATCAGTAAAAATAAAATAGGTGTAGCTATTGCTTTGACACTCCTTTAGGAGTGTCTGCTCATTTCTGCTGAGGTGTGGGCTCCCCCGCAGAGTTGAGGACCACCCTGCAAGGTGCTCATGCGTGTCTCGGGTTGGCAATGGGGTGTGGACCCCTGCACCCTTAGCCAGGATCACAGCTGTTGCCTGTGCCCAGCATGGTGCCAGGCTTTGGGGTAACTCCACATGCTGTCTTTGCAGTTAGTGTATGTAGAGCAGGATGCTGTAAAGGGAAGGCTGAGCTGCTGCTTTTGGGGTAAATGGAGAGTGCTGGCGGGCAAAGGTGGTACCCTGTGTTTCTGGATGAGTTGTTTGGGTGCTCCCTGAGTGGGAATCGCACATATCGTAGCAGTTTATTCAGGTCTGTTGTTTTAATGATCTGTTCTTCGAGTACAGCGAGTGATGGGTGAACAAAAATTTGCTGCATATATGACCAGGTGCAAGTGTAACAAGTCCCTGCTTAGGCTGGTAAATGGAAGGTGATTTATTACTCATTCCAGCCCTCACAGTTCAGGTCAGTGCTTGATCTCAAGTGGGAGCTGCTTGTGCATTTAACTACAGGTTCATCTCTGTGCTTGCTGCACAAAAGGCTGGCTGTCATGTACTCTCTCCGCCTAATGTGTCCCTGGGTCTACTGCTGCCGTGTGGATGTACTGAGCTGGTAGGAGAACGCTCCCCTGCTCCACAGCTTTCACAGCACCTGCAGAAATATGGAGAGCTTCAGTGATGGGTCACTGAGATGTCATGGCTGCTTCAGGCTCTGCGCAAGCTGCCTGGGGGTTTCCTTGGTGCCTATGTACTGTGTGTAACGTATATGATTTATACTTGTCTCTGGGGTGGAGTGCTTTAAAATACCACGTGTATGAATTTCCTTGCAAAGCAGGACTTTGATGAGGTTTTGTGGGGTTGGTTTGGAAAGAGCTTTCTGCTTAATGGTCTGAAAACTGTGAGGATGTGGCTGTGCTAAGCAGCTGCCTGTTACTGTTTCATTCTGTTGCCTCATCATGAGGAGTCATGTGCTGTATCGAACGCGAAGCTGCGGAAATTTGAGAGGCACAGCAGGACATGGGCATGTTTGCAAGCCTGTCTGCTCCTAGTGCTCTCACGGTGCTTGTTTTGCAGCCACCCAGGTGGTTTGAGAGGTTTGAGGGGCTCTGCTTTGTCCTCTGAAATCCTGGTGCCTCTTCAGTGATTCTGGGTCAAGCTTCCCATGCAGCTCTGCCAAAACATCTTAAATCCTGGTGCTGATCGCTCGCTGCTGCGCCGCTACTGGCTTGCAGTGGCGCTTCCTTACCCTTAACATCTTGCTCAGTGCTCGAGCAGCTCGTCTCAGCTGGGGCTGCTTCTGCTCTGGTCCTGACCGCAGAGGTTGCCGTGGCTTATCCCCTCACACGAGATGAGCAAACATGCTTTGGAAAGTGGAAAATTAAAAAAAAAAAAAAAAGTATCGCCTATGCCAGGTTCATCCTGGCGCTTGCCAAGAGGGTGGTTGGGGCTGCGTGAATCACGTAAGTGGTGGCAGCACTCTTGGGTGAGATGCCCTGTGTAAAAGCCAAGCATTAACAAAATGTTTATCTCTTGGCTGTCCCCCTGCAGCACGAGGGCACTAAGGTGCAAGCTGGGGCAGGGCTGCATCCCCAAGGCTGCATTGAGAAGACAAGGTAATATTCATAAAGCACTGGTCTTGACACTGCCTCTCTTCTTTGACAGGAAACATGAAGCGTCACGCTGCTGCTGGCAACTTTCTGCTTCTCCTCTTGCTGGTGGAACTGGTCTGTCCAGGTAAGTCGTCTTGCTGTCTGCACAGTGCTGTACTCTTCTCTCTCCCGTCCTCTCCCTGCTTGGGCCTCATGTTTGTGAGGATAATATTTGCTGTGTTTGTGGCCTCCTGATGATTATCTGAAGGCAGAACAGAATTGTTGTGGTGATGAGATGTGGTTGGTATGGGTAAGCAGATTGCCCATCTTCCTTGCATGTGGTCCCAGGGACCTGCATGTTCTGCTCCTGTGCAGCTGCTTTTCTTTCAGTCAGTAAAGGGGCATATGTGGCATCAAACGGCCCTTCCTGGGAGAGAGCGGTGGGATTGGAAAGAGAGGAGGAGGATGTGCTGGTGAACCCAATAGTGGTAGATGCTCCTGGTCTGTCTCAGTGGGAAAACCTTGGTGACTTCCAGATGTGGATTCATGAAGTCAAAGCTGGTGGTGGACTTGGCAATAGACATGTTGTTAGGTCATTTTGTGTAAATAAAACCTAAAGTAAATTAGAGGGAGTGGCTAAAAGGCAAGGAGGTAAACCAGAAGTTTGTTTGCTGTTCAGCAGAGGAGATATTACTGGCAGGGCTCTCCTTGTGCGTTCAGCAGCAAAATTATTACTCAAACTGTGCTTTAATATATGCTGTGTGGGAAATAACTCCTCTCCAAGCTGCAAAACCTCTTTTCTAATTCCAGCTGGAGGGAAGGACAGGGCTTTGGGCAGGTAGAGCCTCTGTGGTCAGCTTTCTTCCCACTGTTGGGCTCTGCCCCATGAGCATGATGCTCTTGGTCTTCCCCTGGCACATAGGTTTCTGGCAGGGGGCTGTGGGGTCCAGCCTGGCCCCCAGGTGGGAGCTGGTGGTACAACTGCCTTCTGGTGTAGCAGATGTGCCTCTTGGGCTGGACTTTGGCATATCATGGGGTGCAAAGTACTGTAAATATACAGTAAAGCCCTGTGAAAATTGGGATTGTTGCATGAATGGGATAAAGCCCATGTGTGGCACTTGATGATAACCAATAGTGAGCATGTGTACACTTGATAGCACTGTGCCCTTTGGAATACAGGTGCTTCCCCCCCGCCCCTGCCGCTACTAAAGCTTCAAGATGGCTTGCCCAGATTGGCAGCCTGATTAAGCAGTCAGTGGATGACATTAGTTGTGACTGACAAGCGTAGTCAATCTCCCTCTGGTGTTGTACTGGATCAAGTATAGTCTCACTAGTTAACTGCCCTGTCTCTCCTCTGGAAGGGGAGAAAATAAGTAAAAAAAACCCCAAACCAACCCAATGAGTCCTTTACCCCAGTCTGAGCCTCCTAAAACTTGTCCCCTGGAGTCAACATTTGCCACAAGTGGTCCAGTATGTCCCATTGGAGGTGGGTTGGTGGGTTTTGCTTGCCTGGCTGGGGACTCGCTCCTTCACCCCTCCCTGTGCGGTCGGCTGCAGCATCCACAGCTGCCGTGTGTATGGACCTGCTCTAGGTGCTTGGCTGGACACAGCAGATAGGCAATAGTGAGCTGCAAAGCCTTGGAAAGGCAGCGCAGGGAAATGGGGATTTGGAGGCTTTCAGATCAGCAGTGTGTCAGTCCTTATCTCCTAAACCCTGCCCTGCCCTGCCCAGGGCTTTGTTGTCATCTCCCCAAGGAGTGCCTGCTCTTGATAAGTAAGAGCTGGCACAATGCTTGTGCCTAGGACCAGGAGGAGCAGTGTGTGGACACCCTACCATACATCCTGGGGACTGCAGGTGATGGAGCTCCTCTTCCTGGAAGCCTTGTGAAGCAAAAGGGTAAATGCAGAAGTGTAGCCCCAGTGGGTTTGGTGTGTTTGGAAAAGGATGGTTTAGCTCTGGCATGACAGTGGAGTCTGCCTGCTTCTGCTCAGCTACCACTTTGGCAGTCACCAAAGATGGGCAGAGACCATCGTCTCTGGGTTAGGAGGGACCAAGGGATGCTAGCTAGAAGAATGGCTCTGTGATTACTATGCTCTCTTATCAGCAGTGGTCAAGGATGCAAGTACTGAGTCTGAAGAACAGAGTAGCAGCAGGTTTTACAGGAATAATGCGGAGAAGGAATGGAAGATACACACGCAGGGAAGAAAATATCTCAGCACGTCAAAACAACATTGATGGTGATCCATTGGAGCCTGTTGGTAGCACATGAAGGAGGAATAAAGGGTTACAAGTGTGTGGTGGAAGTGATGGTTTTCTGCCATGCACCTTGCTGGGGAGCTATGTGCAAGAGCTGTGTTGAGAGATACAGTGATGGCAATCCCAGGGTATGGCCGGGTGGTTATGGCAGCCTTGCAGAAGGTGATGGCTGGTTCACAGCAATGCCTTTTGGAGAGCGTGAACTTGCTTTCAGGGTATGTGGCATGTGGCTGTGATTCCCAGTAATTTCTGTGAAAGGACCCGTGTGCCCAAAGCCAACGCAACACTGACAGTTCTGAGTTAAATGTGAAAAGAAAACTTCTGGCCATCCTAGACTAGGCAGCAGGACAAACGTGTGGGAGACTTGCGTTTTGCAGGCTAGCTAGACACCTTTTGACAGCACCCAGGTTATGAGGGTAAGAGCTTATGGCTGCAACTGAGATGGGGAGAAGGTTCCTGAAGGTGTGCCAAGGATGCAGCCCTTGGCAGTGGTCTGGGCTGTAGGAGAGCTGGAAATAGTTGTGGTTTGGATGTGAGTATTGAGGCCGGCCAGGGGGACAGGGTTGATGGGGCTGTGGCTTCAGCCACGGCATCCCATTTTTATTTTTGAGGGGGATCGTTTCCATTCGTCATAGCATGCATCTTTTGACCTACATTTTTGTATCATTCAGACGCGTTCTCTCCATCCTCCCCCACTGCGTGCTACCCTTCTGAATGCTGACAGTCTCGCAGCGTGGTGACAGCCTTGCTCTTTATCCTGGGATTTCCAGCCCAAAGCAGACCCTCCTTCAGCTTTCCTTAGCTCTCAGGTGCCAGTCGCCCACCTCTCTTAACACATAAGCGCTCTCCACCACAGCTTGCAGGCTGGTGATTTGAATGTCTAATGTCTCCCAGCACATGATACAGCTGGATTTAGAAGATGCAACTTATTTTTAGTATACTGGTGATACTAAGAAATGTATTTTGAAATAGAGGCATCTGCAGAAGTGAGTTCCCTGCAGGAAGGGCTGCTTGGTGTTTTTAGCCTCGTCTGGCCCTGGCATGGCAGCTAGCTATGAATGTGCTGTGCTTTGAAGCCTCTGGAGATGCCATTAGCTCTAAATTACCCATTTTGTCAAGGTCCTTCTCATATTCTTTTCAGGTACTTAACTCCAGAGGCTGAGATTTAAATGTGCCTCTGCAAGAGCTGTCTCTAGTGCTTTCCCACTTCTTGAGGTATTTAACAAACCTGGTGCCTCAGGAAAGAGGGCAGTCCTGAAAAATCCCTGTCTTTTTATGGAGGGAGCCCTGGAGGAGTCCAAGCTGCTCCCACATCCTGTGGCCATGTCCCCTCCCTGAGTGGGTTTCCCATGGGTGCTGAGCAGGTTTTTGCCTGAGCATAGCTGGGACCTGTGCTCAAAAGGTCTCGGGAACATCTTCCTCCATCGGGAGCTCAGGCAGGCAAAGTGGGTGCTGAAACTTGGGCTGGTACTTATTTCCTAAGGTGCAATGCAGAAGCACAGGGCATGAGATGGCGGCAAAGTGTAGCATGGTCAGGAGGGAAACCTGGACACCTGATCTCGTCTGGGGTTTGCTATGGCTTTGCCTGAAGAAATCTGTCCTTGCTGTTGTAGCATAGTTGGAGTAATGATGGAGGTGATGCTCTGTAATGGCTGTGTTGAAAGGACCCTGCCTGGATCTGTATCTGGTGTGAAGGGGGTTTGCGAGGGGGCATCACGTTGCCAGTTTGGCAATTTTTTTATGCTTGCACAGTCTTGTTTTTTGGCTCTGCTCACACCAAAGGCAGTTGTGAGGGGTCACAGCTGGGAACTGCTGCCCCATCATTTCCAGTGAGTCTCCTTGCCAGAGGCTGTGCTTGGGACTCTGGTCCTGCCTCTTCCACTCTTGGGACTGACTCCTGGGATCAATGGGTGTGAACTATTTTGGCCAAACCAGTTCAAACTTCCGCTTCCCCCTGCACAACCCTCTATTTGATGCCTGGCAGCTGAATTGCATTTCTTAAAGCCTGCGGGCTTGGCCAGCTCTGGCTGCCTATTGAGGAAGACCCATCCCTCAGATGCAGCCCAGTCAACACTAAACCTTCTTGGAAAATAGTTGTGTTTCTCTCCCACCACCTCTTTTCCTGCATCCCTCAAGCAGTAAATCTTTCCTGGTTGACTTTTTCCCTGGTTCAGGCTGCGGTCATTGTTCTCCTACATGCTCTGTGCTTGACTCTCATCTAATGAGGCTATGGTCCAGGGGCAGGCTCGTGAGCTTCCAGCTCTGGAAAAAAGGCAGTAGAAAGAAGTGAGCCTGGTTATTGAATGTGAAAGGAGGCAATTAGAGGGAAAGGCGATTGGGTGATGGGAGAGGGGAGGTGCACTGGGTTTTGCTGGGATGGCTGACAAGGCAAAAGGATCTCAACCATGGGAATAAAGCAAAGGTATTAATCGTGCACTAAAACAATAATCGATGTTCCTGGCCCCTGAGCTGTTGTCTTCCCCCTTCTCTTCTGCCTCCACCCTGCAAAATAAAATACTAAAGAAAGAAAGTCTGGCAGAGGGAAGTGGCTGGCAGATGGAAGTGGCTTCCTAACCAGCTTCTGTGGAGGACCACACAGTGCTTTCCGTCCTTCTGTGAGCCCTCCTCTTGGGGTTACCCCTTGCCATCACGATGCCAAGCAGCGAGCCCGGTTCCCTGTATGCATCTCTCTGCCCTGAGTCTCTCCCAGCTGTGCTGGCCCATGCATGACATACCAAGGAAATAACACCTTTTGTCCTCTTCCCAGGTCGGGGCAATCGGCTGCCGTACTTCATCAACTACTTCTTTGACACCTACCTGCTGATTAATGAGGATACTCCTGTGGGTAAGTGGGGCGTGCCTGTGGGCAGGGAGTCTGCTGCTGCCGACCCCCTGATGGAAAAGCATTAAAAAAATACTTTTCTTTTGATTGACAGAATGTAGCTTATTTTTCTTTCTTTATTTAGCTAGGGATCGTTTTTTAGTAATGCAGAAATCGACCCAGTCATTCTCTGCCTCTTTCCAGGCTCTCAGTCCATTAAACTTGTGCTCTTCAATCAGGGCTGATGACTGGCTCTTAATGTGGGAGAAATCGATTGGGAGCGGAGGGTGGCTGGGATGGAGGCTACGGAGGCCCTTTCTCACATCTACTGCCGCTTTCAACCATGTGGCCCAAGCAGCACCCTCCTTAAAAAAGGACTCTTGTTGCACCTGAATCATCTCTGGAGCTGTCAAGGGTTGGAGGACTCTGGAGAGGTCTCCTCTAGTGACCACTCAGGTCAACCAGGGCTTCCAGCTGAGGCTTCTGTCTCTTCTTGGGGTCCCCTTGGTTGCATTTTTTGCAGTCCATGGTGTCCCCCTTGTGGGATTTGGGGTGGTGTCTGAGCAAGTAGGCACGTTGCGGAGTCTTGGTGGCAACTTTTGGATAGACAGTGTGGAAGCTCCTGGGTGGTAGCTGAGCTCTATGCAGAGATGTGTCCTTGGGAGAAGGCTTGTTGGAGCTGCAGCCATCTGCCTGGGGAGTTCTGTCTTGCGATGATGCTCAGGTTTATTTGCAATGGGAAATAATACTGAAAACACCTTCTTGGGTGCCTTTACTCATAGCACTGCAGAAAGGCAAGCTGCAGAAAATGTAAGGAAAGGAAGAGGCTGATTGATTTTTTTTTTTTTATGCCCTGCCCCGCCCCCCCCCAACCATGACTTGCATCCATGTGATTTTTCATGGCCTTCTTCAGCGAGCCTGCTCGTTCCCACCTGGTTTCTTTGCTTTGCTCCCTGCCCCTCAATTGCTGGTGTCCCTGCAAACACACTTAGTGTTGGATGTGCCCTAGACAAGTCCCAGGGAAGGAAGCAGCTGCGCAAGAGCAGGAGCGAGAGCTGGTTGGGAACAGCTTAATGGAAACGCTTCCTCACTGAGTATGTAGTTCTCAAAGTACTTGAACTTGAAATACCTTATGGGAATTGGACTGAACTTCTATTTTGGCAGAAAATGGGGGAAGATTTCTGACAGTCTGCTTTCCGGTGAGATATTGTGCGAGTAAAATTGTTCTTCAATTACTTTGGGGGTTGAATTTTATTTTTTAAACTTTGTATTACACTGTACAGAAATGAAATTCACTCTTAAGAATATTGGCACACTGGGATTTTGTTTCCAGGTGCACCAGAGGCAAATGTCAGCCTTGAAAGCATTGACAAACAGCATTTCTGTGTTTTCTGCTTTTGGTAATGTTTGCTGAGTTACTGAGTATTAACTTTTTTTAGAAAAGCCATCATCTGGAAACACCTTATATCCTGACTGGGGTGTAAGTAGCAGAACAGTATGACATACCTCTTACCTGAGAAAGAAATGTGGCTTCTTTTCAGAGGTCTGTTAGAAGTGCCCATCACTGCGGCATTGAGTGAATGCCCCCGTGCAGCCCCCTCCTCCCCTACCTAAGGCATCCCCGGGCACAGCCTCACCTAGCACTCAACTAAGCAGGTCCTGCTTGCTGCCTGCCATGCTGAAAGGAATCTTAAGCAACAATTAAGAGATCATTCCCCCTCTAATCACTTACAAGAGTAAATTAGTCTTGTCAGGAGCTATTAAGACAGAGCTCGAAATTCATTAGGCGAGATTGGGCCGAGGGAGCTGCTGGCGCTGTTGCTGGTCCAGGCTGATTAATTTCTCCCACAACATCATCAATGCCCATCTGTTTCATCTAGGTCCGGGGAGAGCAATTTTCAGGTGGACTGACCCTCTAGTCAGTTATTTCACCCAGAAGTGGTGGAAATGCATACACGCACACACACATGCACGCTCCCACTTGCAGAAGGTGAAAGTGATTGAAGGGGCCAGGGAAAAAATTGCAGGACGGGGGGAGAAGATGGCTGGAGAGGAGGAGGAGGGATGATGGCTGGTTGGGCTGTGGTGGTGCAGGTAAAACTGGGCATCGGGAGAACCCACATCACTGCCAATAGCTGGATTGCCATGTGTTTTACTCCAAAAGCTGGAGCACTGGCTGGTTAACAGCCCTTAAGAGTTTGTGGGAGAGGGACTGTCTGTCTTTATTGTGCTGCTCACTGCCTTAAGCAAAATCATTCCAAGGGCCATTTTGTTTAATCACAAACCTTTTAGAGGGCTCTGGGTAAAGGAGAGCAGCATGGATATTGATGCCAGGCGAGTTGCTGGAGGTCTCTGGCAAGGTGTGACGCTCACAGGCGTGCTGGGGAGGTGGCGTTGCTGCAGATGGGGTTACCTGTAGCCCTGGATTTGTCAGCAGGTGGGGATGGGCAGGCAGTACTCTGGGTTTCTCTTGGTTGAGGTACCCCTTCCTGCAGAAGGAACTTCTTAGCATAATGTAATGGCTGGAGTCTAATTGCACAGCAAATGGATTTGCTGTACGCAGGACAGGAGTGGGAAAATTAAGATGATCCATCATGTCGGGTCTGTAACTTGCCTTATAACCACCTAGCTTGGATTGACCCGAGTTTCTCTGAAAGCTTTCATGCCTCAACGCCTTGCAAAATGCATGACAAAAGAGGCCATTCGGATGAGTGCAATTCCACTTTCCCTTCATCCTAGCGATAACATTTTAGCACCGCTGGAATAATGTTGTCTTAAAGGAGTGGAAAATGCTTTAATCGTTGCACTGGAGCTGATAGCATGCCCCTGGCTTTGCTCTTGGGCCACACTGCCAGGGGTGTGGTCACACAGGTGGGCTGGGGGCAATATGTCCATCCTGCCTATCAGATGTTGGTCCTGCCTGCCCTGCTTGAAACTAGGAGAGGGGACTAAATTTGGAGGACTGATCTCCTCTGTAAAGCCTGCTGAGGTTGAGAAGTGCATGACAGAGGGGAAAAATTGCCAGGATTTAGCTGCAAGGCTTGACTGCCTCCTGGGAAATGAGAGTGTGAGAAGATACTGGTGAAGATGGGAAAGGTGCCTGGAATGGCTTGCAGGTGGGGGGGCTGGGCTCCCCCGGGACTTCTGCCAAGGCTGCCTGCTATTAGATTCCCTTAGTTATTTCTGGGTAGGAGAGTGTGCAGCTGAGGCTCTTTGTTCTCCACCCCACCAGCTTGCTGGGAAGCTGTCCTGTGAGCATCACCAGGATGCCTTGAGTGCCTGGTGGGATGCTCAGCCCCAGGTCCCCCAAAGTTGGCTGCCTCAGCATCTCTTCCTGCTTGATAACCTGTGACAGTGTAGGGCCAAGGAGAACCTCTAACTCAGCAGTTCCCACAGTCAGGGCTGCTGGCAAATGACAGCCCCGAGCAGTGCTGGCTCAGCACTCGGAGCCTGGCTGAGTGCAGGGTTTTTGGGCTAAAGGCCTTGCGTGCTCCCTGACTCAGCGGCTCAGTGCCACCATGATGTGGAGGGACGGGTGGCTGGGGGATGCTGAGTGTAGCACCTGCAAGAAGGTGGGGAAGTGCACATGAGAGGTGGTAAAGCGTGGGTTGAAATTGTAAGAGGATGTGTACAATGTATGGGGCTGTGTTTTTCTGCTCAAAGCCCCCTTGTTCCTCTGCTTCAGCTGTATGCCTCTCCCAGGAGGCATGGGCTGTGCTCTCCATCCCCAGGGTTCACTGTGCTCAGAAAGCAAGGTGGATGATTGACAGGAAATTTTACATGCTTCTGCCCCCTTCCTTTGCTATGTGCAACTTTTGCTGAGCTGGTAAATGCACCATAAATAGCTTGTGCTTTGGGAATAGGGTGGGTAAGCATTTGTGAGCTTACAAAAAACCCTGCTTGTTTGGGGACTTGCAGATGGTGACTTCCAAATGCTGTTGCAGGAATTTTAGTTAAATACAGTAGAAGAGAGGGTGATTGCTGGAGACATTCAAATCTCTTGGTGGCGTTGACAGAGTCATGAATTCTGCCAGGGAGTGTGCATGTGGAAGCAGTCTTGCTTGGGTGTTTGGCTGTCTGTTGGCCACATTGTTGGATGTTTGAGGATCGCAGTCTGGTTGTTGGTACTGAATAGGAGAGCTTTGTTCCCTGAGAAGTTTATGGTGGTGTGGTTTGACTTTTTGTAGTGGGAAGCTTAGACTATGCTTTCCCAGGGCAAGCTGGAGCCCTTCCGGGGCGAGCTACATTGAGCGGACCACCTCCTCTGCTTGCAGGAGAAGGCGCAAAGAATTTGAGAGGAAAGTGATTTTTTCCAAAGAAACCTACGTGAGCTAAGGGACTCTGAACTACATGGATGTTTCTCTATGAAGTTCTCAGGGGCAGTGCTCAACCTTGCTATTTGAGACCTACTTCACCAAAATGGTCTGTAGTGGGCATTTCCCCGTGGAGTTAGGGCTCTTACTGTGGCCCCCAAGTTGTTGCAGCCAAGAGGGGCCAGGGATAGTGGAGTTACCACTGCAGTGTAAGTGTGTGTTGCTGGCTGGTGGTGATTAAAGTAATTAGGTTAGTGTGTGTCATTTCTTGCCTTTCAAGGCCTTCTGGGATGGAGAGTTGTTTTGCAAGAGGATTGGAAGACGAACTTGGTATTTCGCAGGTAGTGGCAGGGTACTCTCTGGTAACTCTGCATGTGGATCTGAGGCAGCGTGTCCCTCTGATATTTGTGAGTGACTTAACTTGATTCTCCATCCAAGGCGAGGACCAAGCCAGAGGGCTTTTCTTCTCCATGCAGGGAAGGTTGCCATCCTCCCTGTGCTGTATCTGTAGTTTCCAAAGCAATCGTCTCTCCTGCCACAGCCTTTCAATGCAGTGCTCTGGTCCTGGGCAGCCAGATGCTTTGGCACCCGGGTAGGGTCCCCAGGGGTGCTGGGCCGTTCAAGCTGTTGCTGAAGATATGGTTATCTGTGTGTGACTGAGCATGGGCTGTCTCTGCTAAAGCCTGCCTGCTCATTTGATCCCACAGCTGT